ACTTGCTTGCATATGATATTCTGATGCTAGATAAGCCACAAAAAGATACCTTCACCAACTTGCCCACATATTTCACCAGCATGAGACTAAATTCTGTTACCAAAGGACTAAATAAGCAGTTTGAGGTGTTCTAAGTAGAGGTTGACCAGGGCGCCTGAGCTGTGAATTCTGCTGTAAAGAAATCTCAAGAGGCAGAGGAGCTACTGACCAACGGAGGACTCAATACAGTTTTTAGCATGAATGTTTAATGTGAATTTGCTGACAACTGGCAAAAAGGCAATTATTACTTTGTGTCTTTTCCAATAATTGTTCTAACAATTATCACAAACCTAGTATTTTAAAGCAATACACACTCATTCTCTTACTGTTCTGGAATTCAGAACTAGAACATTTTCATTGAAATCAAGGTGTCCCCCCAAAAGGCTGGGGGGCGGTGAATTCACTTCCTGACTGTCCTAGCTTTTAGACCTACATTCCCTGCACCCCTCAGCTCATGACCCCTTCCTTCATCTTTGAAGCCAGCAGCAAGGCATCTCGTGTCAGTGATCATAACACCTTCTGGGTCAAATCTCTTTGCCTCCCTTTTATAATAACACATACATATTCAGTCCCTAACCACATAACTCAGGAAAATCTCTCATCTCAATATTCTTAATTTAACATACCTGCCAAGTCCCTTCTGCCATATAAGGTAACACCTAGAATCTCTAGAATGATTCTAGGAATCAGGATGTGGGTATCTCTAAAGACTGTTATTCAGCTCACCACAACTTTCTGAAACTTTCAACATGAAAATTCTGTGGGCAAATTCTAACTGCCTTGTAATGATAATTCACTGATATACATATGAAAGCATTCATTATTTTGTGTCCTTCAAGAACATAGTCATATTTCCAGCCGTTTCAAAGGACATGTTTAGCACCAATACTGGGGTTGTGGAGACAACGGTCACTTTGCTTTCTTTCAGAAAGCAAGGGAATGTTCAAAAATTGATAGGGAAACAGCAAAAGGATTGGACAAACTTGGGGTAGTTGAACATCAAAAAGAGTAAGGAGGAGTAACACACATTAGCAGAGATACATGATACAACCTGCTCTTATACATTTTCATTGATTAGAACTATCCTCTGTAGTTCTTGGTGCTGACATTAAGACTTGGTCATGTCAAAGGTAGATCTCAGTCACATCTACTTCAGTGAAGTCAATCCTGTTTTTTTTTTTTTATTCTAGTGTTCTTTTCAAAAGGCTGGTCCTCTTGAGCATGAGATTTGAGGAATTTGAGGGCAACACAACTCTTGATTCTGGAACATCTGCATATCTGATGTGAGCTCTTTGTGCCCTGCTATCCCTATGGCTCAACTTGAACTGAAGGTCACCAAACTCTGGCTCTAGGAGGTGATTTGTCTGCTGCCACCTGCCACATCTAGGACATGCTTAGGTCTCCCATCATGGTGTGTTCATTTAACTAGGGTTAGTCACTGGCATATGAATGGGGTAATTACTGGTGCTGGTCAGGTCCTTTTTAATGCTGTATGAGAAGGCTAGAAACTGAACTCCCAAACTTATTCAACCCTCCTGCTTTGTGATGATGTTGTAAGCACAATGTACGTTGTTAGCAAGGCTTTGATGCTTGATTCCAAAAAGGCCATTATCTTGGCCTATTGTAAAAAATCAAAAGAATAATTCACTAAGTCAGTAAATCAAATTGAGATATTTATAACAAAAATGCAGCTTCTCTAGTGTCCCCGACTCTTTGCAACACACTCAACTCACAATAAATTCAAGAGACTGCAACACAGCTCTCAATGCCTACAGATGAAACTGCCTTTTTGGTTTTGGCAAAAGGAATAAAGGTTGATTAAAGTCCTGACAAGGATATAGTTTTGTATCTTCAGAGAGTCTCTCAGTGCCTAGAAAAGAAAATGGCTGATGCTATCCTCTTTCTGCAGAGCAAATGTGCACATTAGCAATCCACCAAGTTAAGCGCCATCTCTCTGGGAGGCCACTACAGAGTGACCAGTTTTTCTAGACAACTAATGGAAAAACACCTCATGTTTGTCTATGAACACATGTACACATCCAGGTCTGGAAAGGCGAGGACTGGGAAGGCACACAGGAAGAAGGGAAAAAGGAAGATGTAACATATGCCATCAGAAAAATCTCCAGCTGTGACTTGCCTGGCAGATGTGTATATACGTAACTACATGAATGTTCCATGCATATGTGGGGTTTACATCTTATGTGAGCATATGAAAAACAATATAAAGGTACAGCATTCTCTCAGCATATTCAACAAGGGCACTGGTTCTAAAATTTGGTAGCACAGTCAATCATCTGGGAAGCTTTAAAAAGTACTGATGATTGAGCCCCACCCTAGAGATTCTGAATTAAGTGGGATGAAGTACTGAGGTAAGCAGAATAAACAGCCTACCCCAGAGACTTCTACATCCCAGGTCCTGAAACCTTGGACTATGTTAGGCAACATGGCCATGGGGCAAGTAAGGTTGCTAGTCAGCAGACATCAAGTGGGAGAATTAACTTGATTAGCAGAGTCCTCGCAAGTAGAAAAGGGAGATTGAAGTTAGAGGTCACGATGACACAATGTGAGAAGGACTTAATTACCTGTTGTTGGATTTCAAGATAGAGGAGGGAGCACAAATCAAGAAAGCCACAAAATACAGGCAGTTGCCAGATGCTGACAAAGGCAGTGGATTGTCCCCTAGAGCCTCCAGAGGAGAATACAGACAGCTCAGACACACTAGTGTTAGTGAGTGAGGCCCAGCTCAGACTTCTGATTTATAAGACCATCAGCTAATATGTTTATGTTGTTTCAGGGCACTAAGTTTGTAATTTGTTATACTAACATTGGAAAACCAACACAGGTATAGCCTAGGTGCTTCCCATATACATCAAAGTATAACCCCCTAGATGTTTCCAGTACATAGCAAAGTATAACCACTGATCTCAAACACAAGATAAGGACAAGCTTCTGTGATTGCTTGTGCTGGGAAAATGTATGAGGATTTCGTCTGGGAAGTTAGCAAGTCTCTCCACCAAAGTATGCACCATTAATTCTTAACCATCTAGCCAGAGATTACTACATGCCGACTCATCCAAGCACATTACAGGTTGATGTGCGTCACTCCTGCAATTCTACAGTGGCTAGAGGCCTTTTTCATCCTGAGTAGGCTAAGTATTCTTGGGATAAAGAAAAATTATATACCTGATAGCTTTTCCATCGAGCTGATTTTTTACCACTTTTTTACCACTACTGTTACTAGAGGAAGGAATTGACCAATAACCAAATTATATGCAAATACAGAAATTAGTGTATTCACCTAGCACTATTAGAAAAAGGACTATATTACCCTTCCCTTGTACTTAAACTATTGAAAACCACTATTAGGATTGTAAAGATAGATCACTTAAGCAAACGGGGACACCTAAGATCAAGGAAAGATAAATGGAATGTATTTACCTGGGCAACATCAACTCATTTTTTATAGAGATCAAGGAGAACAGTGCATGACCGAGACAGGTGTGGCCCTCCCCCCCAGAGCAATGGGCTCACTCCCACATGATGCTTTTTCTTAAAAGCCAATCCATCATGGTATAGCCAAATGCTGAAGCCATAGAGGCATCTCCTTTTTACTTTATCCTCCCTACTTTGTCTGCCTCACAGAGGGAGCAAGCACAGCAGAAAAAGCAGTGCCATTAGAATCCAAAGACTTGAGTTCACATCACTTAAAAGTGATGTGGAATTAGGAGGTCCCTCTGACACGCTGAGCTTCATCTCTCACAGAGATAACACTACCTCCCCAGTGCTGCATGCTGATTAAATGGAATGACATAATGGAAAGTGCTTAGCACACAGCAGGGGGCTTTAAATGAGTGCTCGCTTCACTGAAACTCAACGATTCGTATGCTTTCACACGTCACCTCTATGCTGAAACTCTGCACGTCTCCTTCCTTTACTCACTCTGCTCTGGTCCTGTATCTCCAACTGTCTGCTTGACACTCAGATTCCTCACTGGCATCTCTAATTGGACATGTCCAAACTGGACAGATGGTCTCCACTCACAAGCCTGTGACCCACCCAGTCCCCCTGCCTGTGTCTGCCATGTAAAGGCCCTGGCAGTCCCCCACATCCATCCTTTCTTCTCCACCCCATCCCTACCGCTGCCACTCTCATTCAGGCTCCATTTCCTCCTATCACACTTCAAGCACATGGGCCTTTAGGATAAGATCCCAAGCATCCTGCTTGTGGTTCAACTTTCTTCAACCAGATCTGTCACATCAAACCCCAAACAAAGACCGTTAAGCACATTTTGCCCTGAACCTGGTACTTATGGTAGAAAAGGAGCCAGCCATAAATCAGCCACACACTTATAATGGTATTTTCATCAGTGATGAGCCGTGTGTTCACTAGAGCAGGCCTGTGTGTGTCTGGGTGTGTAATAGGCTGTGGAGGCAACAAAGAGCCCCCCCAGTCTCAGTGTACCCCATCACCATATACCTCACACAGAAACCTCATCATGTTGCCATGCAAGGAAAGCTCTTGGGATAAGAGGATCACAGGACAAAGTATTTTTAAAACCAGCTACAGACAACTGGAATTTTTTAATCAAACTTCTTTACCTGGCATAGTCATGCATATCTTAACAATGGAGATTTCTCCACGTGTCCAGATGATCTCATCACTGTGCAAATGTCACAATTACACAAACCAGAATGGTACAGCCTCTTACACACCTAGGTACACAGAGGACTGCTGCAGTGCACACATGGCTCATCCCTGATGGGAATATTGTTGTGTGTAGCTGATTTAATGACTACAGTCTAACTCAGCCACACACCTCCCTCAACTGCATTAAACTATAATAATCGATTGATGTTTAACTACTTTACATGTCTTACAATATTAAAATCACTTAACAAGTATTCAAAGTTTTAGTGTTTCTTCTAAGGGGCAAATCTGGTCGACCTCAGATGTGTTCTTACCATTCTGTTCATCCAGTTCATTTCCAATTTCCTGCCCCATTTGTTTTTGGCGACTTATGATAGATGAAAGGGCATCAAGGCCTGCATCCTGTTCTGAAAGAAAAAGTAAAAAAATTAACTAGAAGTCAAAGGAAAATAATTTATAGAGTCCAGAAGTATACCCAGGCATGTAACAGAATTCAATATTTTAAATTAATTAGGAAAAAAAGAATAACTAACATTATTGAAAATTAAGAAAAAAAATTAAATACCAATACCTTAAACAAAAATAATCTCTAGATATATTAAAATTTTTAAATATTAAAATAATGCAAGGTTAGACTTAACATTTAAACTTTGATACTTAATATATAGTGTGCACAAATCAATAAAAATACTTAATATTCTAAATTTTAAATGGGCAAAGGATAGAGACAAAAGCTTCAGAAAAGAATTAAGAATCAAAAAATAAAACCTTTGACATCACTACTACTGTTTTTTGAAATATCAATAATTTTTTTTTTTTTGCACAGCAGACCTCTCCTGTCTCACCTGCTACTCCCCTGAGCAGTGTATTTCAGTCAATTCTCCTGTTCTGCAGCCTACTCTGTCTCTGGTGAATCCTCTCTCGCCCCACACCTTTGGTCTACACCTTAGTTCTTCTATGCATTGCGCCTCCCCCCCCAAAAAAAAAATCAAAAGGAACACTAATTACTAGGGTTAAAGTATGAAGAAGTAGAAGCCCCTAAGTACTATGCAATGGGGGGGGGGGGCTTGAGCAATTGTGCCTGTCTTTTTAAACGTATCAATTCTATGTCTAGGAATGATAGAAGAAGCGTTCAGATAGTATACAAAGATGTACATACACCCACTTGAAACACTATTTCCCTACTGGTTATCAACTTACTGCTTATCATATCCAAATTCCTCCTCTTGTGACTGCTCTATGAAAAGGGATGTGAAACCTTTAAGTACATTTTCCTTTGTGAGCTCTGTCACTAGAGGATACTGTGAGCTCTGTCACTAGAGGATACTGCAGAGACGTTACAGAAGGAAAGGGATTTTGCACCCCATTTCCAGCCTGCTCTCTCAACAGGCTCCTGCAGGGCTTGTGTCATCAATGTCCAGTTTGTTCAGGGTTCAGCACAGCATAGCCAGAATCCAGCACCCTCTCCCAGCACAACTTCTCCACAGGTGGTTTTACAGCAGAATGTCCATAGTTAACACATCCCCATGAATAATATTGTCAAGTACTCCAGAGGGCAGACTTCCAGCAAGTTCTACCAACTCAGCACCTCTGAGTGAACCCCAGTGAACCCCAGCTGTGACCTCTTTAAACAAGATCTCCTCAGGGTGCTCCTCGGCTACTCTATCTCTGCCTTACAGTAAGTGGTCAAATCACACTCACTGTTTTGTTCTCTTTACTGTTTGCTGGGTAATCCTTTTACTCTTCATTAGTTAATAATTCTGTATACTAAACTTTTCCTTGTTAAAATTTCTTTCTCCTGATTGGAGAAATATATTTAAAGTAGTGAAAAATTTGAAATTATCTAAATATATTTAGAGTAATGAAATACATTTATTTGTATATTTATAATGAAAATTTTGAAATTACCTAAATACCCAGTGTTTTGTTTAAAAATATGTAATAAAAAAATAAAAATAAAAATATGTAATACACTGACATAGCAGAATACTGCAGCCATGAAAAATAATATTGTATGTGTA